AGGCGGCGAACCAGTATTGTAAAATCTACCGCAGTAATAATATTTTTTTGCGTACAGCTGGGGTAACAGTGGAAAAAACTAGAATGTGTACACAAAATTCTTTTATTTTTTATTATCAAAAATATATAAATATAACAATCAATAAAAACAGAAAATAAAACGTTTGGAAAAAAAATACCTTGTTTATATAATGGATTACAACGAAATTGGATACACAGGCGTTAACAGCGATATTCGACAGCGAAATTTTAAAATTTCAGTAACATAAGACAATTGACAAAATAAAATATACTTAACTCTAAAATATAAATTAAGAATATAAAATATAGAACAATTTGAAAAAATTACGAAGAATTCAAAAATATATTTTTCTAATATTAAATACATTTCAACCAGTTATAAAGCTTGTAAGATCGCAGATCTACAAATTTCTGTTTCTTATTAGAAAAGAATTAATTTTTTGTTAAATAATAATTTATACATATATAAATTTTTTTTTATAAGACAGAAAATCATTTTTTCAAGTAAGTTTTAATGATAAAAGGGAAGATGTACATTTCAAATCTAAGTGAGTAAAAAGTACCTTGTTGTGTAAAAATAACACTATAATGCATAAAAAATATGAATTTAAATGTGTTATTTTTATGTTAAGGATGAGATACTTTTTACAAACTTGGATTTGTAGTGTATGCTTGAAAGCCGAGAGATATACCTAATCATCCTAAATTTGCACGGCCATAGCTTTTGTCGTTTACGCCGTGACGTGGAATTGCTACGAGTCCCGCTCATTAAAGCAGTTGCTCGCGGTCCAGGATCTTCTAGGGGTGAAGTTTCGGTACGTGATCAAACGGTCTCGCGCTGCCGTTTCTCCATCGCGGCGGTATGCTGCCTATATGGAATCGAGTAATCGAGTTGACGATAGTTGTGGACGCGCACGCGTATGTGTAATCGTATTAGTGGCCGAGACAGTCGAATTCATCGTCGTAGGCGGCTACCGGCTGCCCCTCAGTTCGCTAAGTTACGGTCATTTCTCTAAGTCATCCGTTTATGTCGACCATTTATCCCGTACATTCCATGACACATCTATATGAAATTAACCCATTTAACCGGCAAGAAATACCGACGACATCTCTATAAAATAATTAAATATCTTAAATTTTTCAATATTCTTGTGGATTCGTAAGGAAATATTGTGATTTGTTCACACATTCTCTCAAACATAATTTTTATAAAATATAAAATCTCGTTTCGTACTTCGCGTTGCTTTACGACAATTATCGCTTGCGATTGACGAAACTTTTGATAAGAATAACATATACCGTAGATATACGATAACAAGTTTCAACTGGTGAATAATGATCCTTTAACTAGCGGTCATTCGATTTACACGCTTGTATAAATGTGCTTTATTTCTAAACACCGTAACATTCGTTGATACGGTATGTCAGGAAGTCCCGTCGCTACTTGACTTTTGCTTACTCATTGATGGTTATCCTGTTATTTCGCGTCTTTATCAAAGCACTTATATATCTAGTGGCATATATACAGAAATAATTGATCTTTATATAGAAAGAATTTATGTATCTCGACATTGAAAAACATTATTGGAAGCTTATTTTCAATTTTTACATTCATACAATTAGATTTTTTAATATAAAAGATGTTATTGCTAGCGATTGCAAAAGTATATTTTTTTGAGGTTGCAAGGGTAACGTTGCAAATACCGAAAACACAATCTAGCGTAACGAGCTGCAACGACAGTAGCTGACCCTGGTAAATGTTGATCCCCTAACTAGCGGCAAGCCGAGTTGCATGTTTGTATTAACATTGCATCAATTTAGTATTACTCCTACATATATCAGAAAGTCAGATTTTACTGTTTAATTAATTAGTAATAATTACAACGGTTTTCTATTATATTAAAAAGAAACCTAAAAGTAAAGTATATTAAAAATTATTTATATTCCAATTTTAATAAGAAATTTTTTACACAAGATTAAAATCGATTATCCTGATAATAAGAATTTTCTTAATTTTAAATATTTACTAAATTATAATTTTTAGTATTTTAATAAAAGAAGCTTGATATTTGAAAATCCATAAAAACGAACTCAAATTCTCCAATTTTCATATATTTATTATCGAAAGAATTTTGTACTTACAAACGTCCGATACATTTTATAATATAAAACGCACGTTGCTTACGATGTTACGTCAACTAAAATGAAGACCTTCAAATTACGGCTTGTTTGCGAAACTTTCAATTTACGCGATTCAAATCGTATTCTGTGCGGATTATTACTGTAATCAAACGAACGCAGTCCAATCAATGTAGATTCATGTCGCAGTAATACTTATCTATTACTTTGATCGCGAAACTCTTTCACGTTGCTATCAGTTTACGAATCGAATATATATGCCATGTACATACAAATATCCATATAAAAATTCATTTATTTAGATTATTTTATTTTCAGATTAATATTAATCGTTTTTATTTCGTCACGTTTACGCGAGAACTGAATTACATTTACCCTACGAACAATTCTATTATCTTAAAATTATATCTGTACGAGTATTTTAAAAAATTAAACACGTTTTACGTGCGTGCAAGAACATAAAAATCTAATAATAATCTCTTTATTCTTTTCACATTTTTACGTTTTAGAAAACATATTAAATATCGAATATCGAATATTAAATATATCAAGTCATAAAGAAGCGATTGATGATATAACCAAATATTGAATATTTAATGTCAAGTCATGAGAAAGCGATTATAATGGTGTAATCAATAATTTTAATATATGCATATAATTTCAATACATTTTTATTGTTTTATTGTATTATTGATGTAATACACTGTTTTACTAGAGTTACATTTCTATAATTCCCATTTTTCTCCTCAATTAACCTAACCCGTAACTTCTCAATTGATAGATATTTCAATCTCATAATTATTCAAGAATTTTTTTTAAGGGTTTTTGTGAAACACTAAGCGCGCGAATCACATTACATCAGCACGAGTGCGTCTGTACCTTGAGTCCTTAGTATACGCCTCGAAACAATTTAAAGTCTCATAATTGACAGGAACATGTGCGTCGCCGTAACTGCATTAGCATTCATTATTGCGCGCGACGAAACTTCGCGCAAAAATGGATTTGGCTACTCCAGCTTCGTTACGCTAATGGGCTCCTTGTTATCTCTTTAACGCAGTAGGTGTTCTCGGTATCGCAATTAGCATCATCCTATCAACTTATTTATCTTGCCATTTTGAATTTGGGGCCGAACCTGATTGCCTGTTTATACTTGCTTGTCCTAGACGAGGGTGTATTGTCTGAGGGCTGCTAAACGGATTTTCACCATCGGCAAAAGTATGCAAACGAGTTTCCGAGATAAAATTGTGCGATAATTCTCTTACTCTTCGCGAGAGGATAGAAATTTCGCGATAACATAATGCGCCGCGCTGCCGAAGCATACCGCGATCAAGCCGGATATTAAATAGAGGAGATATTAAATAGAGAAAAAACATATTATTGCGAGAGAACTTTAAAGTTCGTCTTTTTTTTCATTTCTTGTTGCACTCATCTCGTATAGCACCGATAATGTTTAAACAATGGTAAGAGCAAGTGGACAAAGATCAAACTCGACGTGAAACTTCCAATGTCTTCGTCTATCGCAATTTAATTTAAGCAAAATCAAATATTGAAGTTACGATCTTGTAAACGTATTTTTATTAAAGCTGACACTTGTTGAAAACGTTCGCGTAATTCCGTAGACATTCTAATTCTGTTTTACTTTTTTCTCTTTTGCATTTATTGCGTCTGCTAAGGATATTATCTTGTTAGAATCATCATATAATAGAGAATTGTAATTATTGGATGCAAGTTACGTAATTTTTTTCTTTTAATGAAAATTTAAATAGTTGATTAATTATTACACTTTAAAAGAGAGATTTAATCTGACATATAATTATTTGAGAAATAAATGAGATAAATGAGAAAATTTATTGTTGTTTTGATCGGAAAAGTATTTATGGAAATTTATTTGTTTTATTACTTTTTCCAGTTTCATTTTTCAAGAGAAATAAAACTGTGCGATTTTAATAAATCGAGATTCTGATTGTAATTATTACATTTTTTTAATTAATAATTTAACCTCACTTTTCATGTTCACCAAAATAATTTACTACACAATTTTACTTGTTGCAAAACATGAAAATTTGAAAAAAAGATTGTAACAAATTGTAATCAATATTTATTCATTTACATACAGACTTTTTGAATTAGAATAAAAAACAATTTTATATTTCAAACAAGTATCAGATTTAATAATTCCTTGAAAATAATAATGAATAATAATTTGCCATTATTTTATTATCAGAAAACGCAGTAGCGGCTCTCGCAAAGTATATATTTTTTAAATAATATACGTGCAAAGATTAAAATTTATTATAATAGATAGATAGATAAGTTTATTGTCCCTTATAGAGTTACAATTTTTTATATGTTACACACAGTCTTGTTTTTACATCTTTTCTTACAATTATAATTATCTACTTAAACTCGTCTTATCTCGCATGTCGTACGCTCACCCGCTAATACAAAATTTATTATAATAACAGTATATAAAACATACACATATCAATCAGACTTTGGATCAGAATAACTATCGAGAGAATTAGTATTAAATACATAATAATATTACCGTTAAGTTTCCGAGACATTCAAATAAAATTAATTATTATACCATGTGATGCTGATTAGTTTACAAAGTAAAGCATATATGTAGCAATAATCTATTCATTTAAAATAATCAAACAGGAATAGAATATTTAATGAGAATTTAATTTATAACTTTAGCTTTGAATATTTCGGGATCACTAGAAAACGTTCGGCGTGTGTTGGCTTCGGTGTTTGTGTGACGCGCAGCTTTGGCGTTTGTGTTGCGCGCGGAGAACGGTTATTGTCGTACGACACGTCGTCGTACTTACACGAGGTCACCACGCTAGTATTCACACCGTGAAGCTCGAGCAGCAGTATCGGCGAAAATCGCTCCCCGTATCTTTCGCGATTATTTTCTACGAACAATTATTGATTATCGAACGTGGTTAATTAATTGTTAACAATTTGTAGGTGTATACGACGAAACGACGAATAGTTACCGAGTTAGATGTTTCGCGTGTTTATTTACTCGATGTAAACAAAACAAATGGGAATAGTTATTTAAATACGGGCGCTTTCAATTTTTGTTTTAATGGCACTTGAAATTGAATATATGTCGCTTTAGGTTTTTCGCCTGTTCATATATTCGTATTATATATATTGTCGTTTTTCAAAACGTGAAATAATACATGAATCATTTGATCAATTCAATCCATGTTTATTAATAATAGATTTTTTTTCGTGATATTTATGCGCCCGATATGTATTGCGAGACACTGTTTTGATTGCATATTTTGGAACGGTTTATCATGTCCTAATTAATATCTAAGTAATTAATTGAGCTATTAATTTTATTAATCGTATCTCGTAACAGTAATAATATGTAACAGTACGAAATAAAGTACGATATTTTCGAAGGTGATCGAGTGCTGTTTCCCCAAGGATGGAACAACAATGGAGCAAGAGAGGAGGAAGAGGTTCAGGGAGCATCGGGCGACAGCGGAGCAACCAAAGAGTAATATTTTATTTTACTTATTATTTATTTATTACAATCTCTTGTGAAATTAATTATTCCTGCAATATAATGCATGATGTCGTAAATTCATTTTTTATCATTGTGTAAAGCGTATAAAATATTTTTGGTATCATGTTACTTTTATAAGTGTTTAAAACTCATCATTAAACCTGGCCGCGCGATTACTAGGAAAAATGAGCGTTTCCAGCGATGTTTTCTTTCGGACTAGATGCGCGGGTTTTGTTTCGCACAAACAAGCCGAGATGACAAACATCCGGGGACCA